TTACCTTTTGTTTCTTTTGCACATTAATTTTGGGTAGCCTTCCACTTTAGTACAAGTGTTGCTGTTGCGTCTTGCCCATTTCCATATGCGATAATATACCTTTTTCCCTACCTTGAAACAGTGTGCATTCGAGGCCTTTCAGAAGTATCCCTTCATCTATTCATGGTTAGTTTGCCTGATTCTTCTATTCAATGGAAGCAAATAATGGATTTACTTTGTAGTATGCTACATATTGCTTCCATTCATCCATGTATGGTGTTTTTGTAAGTATTATGGAAGAAGTCTCCCAAGTATAAATACAGTGATAGAGCTTCTCATATTTTATAAAATGAATCTTTCCACGAACACACATTGTTAGATTAGGTGTCTAAGCCCATAACTATATTTGGTATGTACTTGACCCAATTGTATCATGGTCCTTTTGGGTTGCCTTCACCAAAGCAACTTGACTGGATGAATAATGGAGAAAGAGGATAAATGTGATTTATTAATATATATTAAAAAAGAAATCATATTATTGAATTTACATTGGTGAAGAATTAATTAACACTTAACTTTGTGGTCAAAAGAGGTTAATTGAATTAAGGGGACTAATGTTGCAGTTATAAGATAACTAAATTATGGGCTGAGGACCTCTTAGAAAGGAGGTGGACGAAATCTTATGGGAGCCCATAAGGATTTCATCCTAGGCTAGGGATCTGGAATGTTCTGATGGGCTGCTTAGAGCCTAAGCAGCCAGATTAGGTCCTTGACTGAAACCCTAATTCATCACCTATATATTGTACCCCTTGGCATCACATTTTCGGCTACCTGAAACCCTAGAAGGATTCCTAGAGCCGAAATAATCCCTCATCTGTCTCTCTCTCTCTCTCTGTCCCTCTCTCAATCTCTCTCTCATATTTCCAATTGCTTGTGGTGTTTGTGATCGATTAGAGGTATTAGATTTGTGCTACTAAGCTCTCAAGGCAAGGATCTTCAAGCTTCAATTGAAAGGTAACATTCTTACTAGTTTATTTATGTTGATTTCGATTTTTGTATGCTAGATTTAGGGTTTACAAGCTTTGGATGATTATTGCATGTACAATTAGAAAAACCTAGATTGTTGTTTTCCTGATAACATAACAGTGGTATCAGAGCCTAGGTCATTTTTCTATTGTATTTGATGTATAGCTTAATTGTTCAAAGCTGAAAAAGTCGAAAAACTGCTTCTGACAGATGAACTCGTCAAGTCACATGATGAACTCAACGAGTTAGAGCTACTCGACGAGTCCAGTTTGTGACTGGGCAAGTCGGCTCGTCTGTTAGCAGATTTTTTGGGATTTTGACTAGAATTGAGTTGGGATAATTACCATAAGCATTTTAACTGAGAAAAATCGATTTTTTCAATATGGTATTGATTATCCTCATTCAATTGAAAGATAATTGTTAAATAATTACATAATTACTTGTTTATATGATATAATAAATTATTTGTATTATTTAATATGAATTATCTTGCCATAAAATGAATTAGGTCAAATTTAGATAATCACAAATTATTTGATTAATTGAATTATTTGAAATTTGATCTAAAAGGTTTTCAAAAGTTTCAAAACTTACCCTCAAGTTTTGGAATTTAAACTTTTTTATTAATAGTTTTAATTTTGAAATATTTAAATTATAAACCCTAGAATTTTACAAGTTTAAAATTCAACCCTTATACTATTATAATATTATAAGATTTATATATATATATATATATATATATATATATATATGTGTGTGTGTGTGTGTGTGTGTGTGTGTATGTGTGTGTGTGTGTGTCTATAAGATAAGCTAGTATTACCGTTTGTAGGGCTCATTCACGAAGCTGATCTATAAGGGGTGTATAAGGAAACTGCCTATAAAATGGCGGTTGAATGGGTGTTCACTCTCACCCACCGCTTCCTTGATTAGTAGAGGGTCGTTAGCCGAATGGGTAGGATATGGCAACTAATCCCTCATTAATAAGTATATCTATAAAGTAACTAAATGTCTTTATAAAATTCTCAATCTTAGTTACTTTAGGGAAAATGTGAAAATGATGCTATACCATGAAATTACACTTTCCAGCTTGCCAAGTCCTTAGCGGAGCGTGCGTGGATAACCGACACACTAATTTTGGACTAGCAAGGGTGGAAAAGGGTAGCTCGATGTTTATCATAGATCAATGAAGCGTGTGTGGTTAACTGTCACATTGATAAGGTGGTAAATGACATCGAGAGTACCAAGTACATTTGCATGGTTATTCACACCTTGTTTGTGATCCTTGGTATCCCAGTCACAAAGTTGAAGGGCATATCGAGATTTAAACAAGCCATTGAAAAGTTCAATGAATCTCAAAAGAATCTAGGAATTTCAATTCATTTAAAACTTAATTGTATTTTTTTGTTTTTCATGGTCGAAATTGGTAAATCGTCATTTACCTACCTTCAAATTATTGAGACCAACACTGCTACTCATGAAGAAATTGAAGCGTAAGAAACTCATGAGATAGATGCTACGAAAGTTCATTGCATCATGCTCGCAACAATGACTGGTGAACTCCAAAAGTCCTACGAGGACTACTATCCGTTCGAGATGCACCAAGATTTGATGGAAATGTACCATCAAAGTGCTAGGCAGGAAAGGTACGAGATCATTGCTGCAATGATCACTACCAAAATGAAGGATTGAGAGTCCATCATGGTCCACTTGCAAAAAATGCAAAGGTATGTGGACCGCTTATGGAAGTTAAATGTCAACTTCGATGAGGTGCTGGCTATAGATATCATTCTACACTCCTTGCCTCCTTACTACGACCAGTTTCGTATGACCTACCATATGAATAAGGAGGAGGTCACTCTAAGCAAGTTCCAGGCTTGCTAAGGACTGTAGATAATGGGTTGATGACCTCTTGGAAAGTAGCTGGACAAAATCTTATGGGAGCCCATAAGGATTTCGTCCCAGGCTAGAGTTCTAGAATGTTCCTATGGGCTGCTTAGAGCCTAAGCAACCGGATTAAGTCTTTGACTGAAACCCTAATTCCTCACCTATATATTGTACCCCTTGGCATCACATTTTCGGCTACCTGAAACCCTAGAAGCTAGGGTTCCTAGAGCCGAAATCATCCCTCATCTCTCTCTCTCTCTCTCTCTCTCTCTCTCTCTCTCTCTTTCTCATATTCTCCAATTTCTTGTGGTGTTTGTGATCGATTAGAGGTATTAGAATTATCCAAGTGGGAGACTGTTGGATAAGGTGTCTAAGTCCATAACTATATTTGGTATGTACTTGACCCGACCCGACATGGTCCATTTGGGTTGCATGACATCATGCATTTGGACAGACTTAATGAGAGAAATAACACTTGTGGTTTATTAATATATTATAAGTTCTAATATATTAATAGTATTATTTAATTAGTATTGATCAAGAATTAATTTGGAATTAATCAAGTGATCAAAAGATAACTAATTAAATATAGGGTTTACGTCACTTTTGGTCACTTAACTTTTGGTTTTGTGCTCATTTGGTCACTTAACTCTTTTTAAGTTTTAAAAGGTCATCAAACTTTTGGCTTTGTGCTCATTTAGTCATTTAACTTTTGTTTTGGTCACATTTAGTCACCTAACTTTTAGAATTGTGCTCATTTAGTCACTAAACTTTTTTTTTTTTTTTTAAAATTTTAGTGACTAAAGGAGCATAGTTTTAAAAGTTAGATGACTAAATGAGCACAAATCTAAAAGTTAAGTGACTAAATGTGACCAAACCAAAAGTTAAGTGACTAAATGAGCACAAAGTCGAAAGTTTGATGACCTATTAAAACTTAAAAATAGTTAAGTGACCAAATGAGCACAAAACCAAAAGTTAAGTGACCAAAAATGACCTAAACCCTTAAATATATGGGTTGATTATGTAAATCATCCATAACTTGTATAGCGGGCTAAAGGATCCATGGATTGTCAAGTTAGGTTAAACCCATAGGATGCTCCATGGGAGTTACAAACCCATAGGTCACGGAAATGAAGAGTCATGTCACATTAGGGTTTACATGGTGTAACCCTAGATGTGACACACTATATAAGGAACATAATACTCACCAAAATCGGCTAGACACTAAGAACAAGAGAGGGCAAGCCGATTTATACAAGTGTTATACTACTCTAAAGTTATTCCAAAGCATTTGGTGTTTTGTGAAGCATTTGAGGCATCACACTTGGGGTGCCAGGCTCTCAAAGTTTTCAAGGAATCAAATCAACTACAAGGTATGTAATTCTAGCCATCTTTTAGATTAAAAGTTCCCCATGTATGCTAGATAGGATTATGAACCTTGGAAATCATATTCTGCATGTATTTTGGACAAACATAGATCCAAGGTTTTCTAGGGTTGCATGTACACTTAGGGTGTTAGAATGCTCAAAACCAATCATATATATATATATATATATATATATATATATATATATATATATATATATATATACACCAAGTAATCATAAGGAGTATCAGGTATGAGTCAGGTCATAGCATACAAATTTAGTATACCGCTTTCTAGTACAAAAACATACTTTTCAGATAGAACATTTAGTAGGCTAAACTAGAAACTTTTCAGTAAAAGGTTTAATTCATTTTATTAAACGAGTACAACTTAAAGGACCTTTAGTGGTTAATTCTATAATACTTTAGTTTATACATCAGAGTTACATATAATTAATATCCGATAGGCAGTTGGATGTGTGCTTTCCGCCTTACTTCCTGTTCCTTGTTTGGTTGTGGGCTTAGGGTAGATTCATCCATTTAACTATCCGTTCGACATTAGATTATATATAGCTAGTATAAACTAAGTGATTATAGAAGGAACTATTGTTGTTACCATTTTTACTAAAGGAAATATGTGATTTTCTTAAAGAATGTTTTCATTAAATATAAAGAACTATGACAGTTAACTCCGTAAGCACCAAATGAATACGTCGGGGTTGTATACAATGAAGATCTAACAAACAATGGTATGTGTGCTTTCAGCCTCATTTCCTATTCCTTGTTTGGTTGTGGGCTTAGGGCAGATTCACACAATCGATTGTCTGTTTACTCTGGATTGTATATAACTTGTATCCATTTAGTACTCATAGAAGGAATTGTAGAGTCATTTTTACTTATCATCCATCACATCAGAAAATATAGGATTTTCTGGAGGAACAGACGAACTTTTCTAAAGAACTTACTTTTCATCACTTAAATACTTATGAACTCACCAGCTTAAATACTGATATACTTTTTCAAAATAACTTATATTCTCAGGAAACTAGTAGACAAGTATGCGCACTGGGATTCAGAAGATGGAGTATAGTAGCTTCATGTATTTTTTTTGTTATTTACTTTTAGAGTCAATCTTTTGTGAATAACATACTTTGTAAACAATTTAATATTAATGTAATGGTTGTTTTTTACTTTGATTACTATGATGCATGTGTTGTGATACTAAACATGACGTCCTCCGCCCCCGAACGTTTCCGCCGTTCCGGTTTGGGGGTGTGACATAACAATACAATCATTTATATAGAGTTATTTTTAACTATTTTCATTGTAAGTTAGTATAAGCTACTTATTTGAAAAAATTATAACAATTATAAAAATATATTTATGAAATATTTTTGTTAAATTGAGATTACAATTTAGTTTTTGCATTTATCACTACAATTTATCATTTTCAACTATTTATAGAACATTCTTTGGTTTTTTAAGTGGAACTGAAATTTATTTTTAAGTTAACACTGTAATGTTATTTGTAATGTTATATTAAAAGTAACCATTTAAGTATTTTGTCCAAACTATTCAAAAGTTATAGCTTTAAATTGATAATGGTTTACATATAACAACATTTTGAATCTAATACATTAATTATAATATGTTAAAAGTTAAAGACACAACTTTATAAGTAAAAGTAAAGATATTATTTTAAAAATGAAATTTAGTTTATTTATGATTACACTTTATATTTGATATTTATTTAATCTTATTAACCAACTTATAATCATTGTTAGAAAGACACTATAATTTATTACTTTAAACTATTTACAAAATATTTTTTGGGTTGTTTAAGTTAAACTAAAATTTATATTTAAGTTGACTCAATAATGTTATATTTAAATTAATAATTTAAGTATTTTATATAAATTGTTCCAAAATTATATCTTTAAAATGATAATGTTTTACGTCCAACAATATATTAAAACTATTAAATTAAGTATAATATGTTAAAAGTTAAAAAAAAACATATCTTTATAAGTAGAAGTAAAAATATTATTTAAATACTGGAATTTAGTTTATATATGATTACTCTTTAGGTTTGATATTTATTTAACCTTATTAACCAACTTAAAATTATTATTAGAAAGAAATTAAAAAGTCATGAGAGTTTTAAATGAATGTGATGAAATGAAAAATGCATGAGAGTTTCAAATGAATGTGGTGAAAGAAAAAAGTCTTCCTTTATAAGTTTACTAGGCATAACCTCGCGCGTTGCGCAAGAATGCATTTAAGTGGTTAAAATAATTATGGGAAAAAATAAAAATATATTGAAATTTACGTTTTTAGTCATGTTTGGGCATTAAATGAATTATCAAATAACATAAAAATCCATCAATTTATATTTTGACACTATCTAATATAGTCTATACCTTATAAACTTTACTTTTACTTTTATAATATCCAATATATTTTATAAGTTTTTGTATAACATTAATATAATCTACTTTTCTTATGTCCGATAATATTTTTTTGATAAAATAAGAAATAAGTTGTTTTGAATGAGCTATTAATAAACAATATTGAACTACTAAACTTTGTATTACAGTATTTATATTACACCAAAACATCCAAGGTTCATATATGAACTTTCAAATATTAAACATTGAAATTAAGAATGAAGTGATACAAAATATATCATTATACATAAATATCATCAAGAGTTTTAAAATAAGTCGATTAGTAAATATGATATTTAATTTTAATTACATATTTTGGAAGACTTACATTTGACTTTATGTTGGTGCGCCGATAATCATCTTCCTTAATTTGTACCTAAAAAATTAAGGTGAATAGGAATATAAAATTGATATTACTAAGCATTAATATAAATAATTAAAAAGGGTATGTGGATCTCCTACCACCGGTTAAAGACAACATACATCTCTAGTGGTATCGATTCCTATGTGAAATTGAAGTAGTCATTTTATGTACACCTTGTTTTCTAATTACATAAACAAATATGAGTAACCAAACACAAAAATATTATCTTCATTTAGGAATAATATTTTAGTTAACTAACAAATTAAATAATATAAGTTTAAGAGTTAATAGTTTCAAAACATTAATTTTTTTATTAATCAATCAATTAAGTAACACATGTTGAAATTTTTACAATCATTATTAAAAAGCATTTGAAATATTATATTTTAAATGAAATTTGGTTGAGGTGTTTTGACCTCTATTATAATATATATATATATATATATATATATATATATATATATATATATATATAGGTTCAAATGTTTTTAACAAATATTATGTGCCTAAATGCACCAATCAGAAATTAGCAATTAATTAATTAATTAATTAATTAAATAAGGGTAAATTAGTAATATTACATATATGTATTAATGAATATCCAAAATTAACAACTGATATCCCTTTATTTAAGGGATCCTACGCTCTCATCGGACTCCCACAATGTCTCTTTCACCACCACACAATTCTCCAATCCTACAAACTAAACAATCGAAGAACCCTAACTGTATCTGCACTAGGAGCCGACACATTTGAGGGAACAACACTGGCAGTCATCGGAGGCGGCTCGGTCGCAGCAATCGTCGTCGTGATTTCACTCGCGGAACCCGAGAAGCGCCGACAGTTGCAGGCGGAGGAGGTTGACGGTCATGTTCACGTTTCAGGTTCACTTTTCCTAATTTACACTCTTCGTTATCTCAATCAGGTCTTACAATTTCGATGTTTTGATTGAATTTTGTACTCATTAACTTTCGATTGAATTTGGGAGATACAATGATTTGTTAGGCGCTGGTGCAGTGAAGAAGGTGTACAGGGGATTTGATCGGAAGAGATGTAGCATGGAACCAAGTAAAACTAAGAAGCTTCGGTGGAGATCCATCTGTTCTCAAGAGACTCTTTTTCAGAAATCAAATTGTTACAGACATTAGAGAATGAAAACATCATTGTTCTTTACAGTTTCTGGAGGGATACTAAAAACAGCACCTTGAACTTCATCACAAAGTCATGTGCTTCAGGTAATTTAAGGGATTACAGGAAGAAACGCAGACGGGTTTCATTGAAGGCATTGAAGAATTGGTCAAGACAGATTTTGAGAGTGAAATATGAAATGAGAACTTTATCTCAGGTGTGTGTGTGTGTGTGTTTCAACTGATCAAAATTTTCTTTTTTCCACCATTAACATATACGGTTAACAGTGTCTGTCTCCTTTGCAGCTACATGTTTGAATGGGTCACAGTTTCGTCCATTGATACCCTTGTTAGAAGCCATGCCAAAGGAACTTGGTGCTAGCCTGCATGATATGCTTAATCTGATCACAGGCAATTTCTTGAAACAACATTCTGTCATGGCCTCCATGTGTTCGATAAAATGCCTCAATGAAAAAATAGTTAAAAATCATTAATGTTTTTACTTCACTATGTTCCTTATTCTTTTCAGAACTATACAACTCAATTTAGATTGGGTTGGATGCCATTTTTATAACAATAGGTTGATGCTAGTTCCTTATTCTGTAAGAATTTGCAGTTAAATACATTGAGCATATCGAGAAGAAACACATGGAACCCGCGGAATGTTAGTTCCTTATTCTGTCAGAATAGGTTGATTCTAGTTCCTTATTTTGTTTGTTGGGTATATTCTTGATAATACAAATTCTTAAAGAATATTCTTGCAGAATAGTTTATTTTGTAAGAATATTATTTGTTGTATTATGATAAAATTGTAGTTAATTATTTGTATGTTTAATGTGCAGGTTTTACAAGTGTATCACTACAAATTACTTGGCAATGAATTTCTGGTGGAAAAGGCTTCAAGAATGGATTGAAGACCTGATGGGAAAGGGTTGAAGAATGAATTAAAGAATGATCACACTCATTTTTTAAGAATGTTGTTATTTTTTAAGAATTATACTTGTTTATTCTTTTAGAATGTTTGTTATTATTCAATGAATCACAATCATACAATGTAATTTTTTGATATATTATTAGTTCAAGAATCGACTTTGTGTATTCTTTCAGAATGTATTTACTAGTTTATGTTTGGCATTCTGCCATTCTGATAGAATAAAATCGAAAAATGCATTTACTAGTTTATGGTTGACATTCTATCATTCTGACAGAATAAAATTGGATTTTTAAATTTGAATTAATTTAAAATATTCAGATTTTTAAAAAATAAAGGAATTAATCATCCCTAAAAATCCGAAAATTTCCTTTTTTAATATAGGTTAATTGACTAAAATGCCCTTATTCTGAAATTTGTGTGATTATATGGTACATGCTATCCTATTCTACTACCATAGACCCTCAAATAATGACATTTGATTATATTCCATTCGATGGTCCAGATCTGTGCATTCTGACACATAATACTTAGTAAAAACAAAATAACCTAACCCTATATATATATATATATATATATATATATATATATATAGACACACACACATACACACACACACACACACACACATATATATATATATATATATATATATATATATAGAGAGAGAGAGAGAGAGAGAAAGATGGAAAGTATAACATATGTATGAGTTTTAATTAATTATCTTTTTGAAACGGTACAATTACAAACAAAAAGAACATATTGAAAATATTTAATTAAATACTTTTGAAATCACCCTATATAACATATGATTAATATATTAACGATTAAACCACAATATACAACAACTGTATTACAATAATCCAAAAACGAAGAAAATATAAAAACTAATTAATATAACAAACTTACAAATTAAAAGCTCTAATATAATAGCATATCACCAAAAGTGGTCATAAGACCTCAACCCAACACAAAAATCTTTAAGTTTGTTTTCTTTCTAAAATTTGTATATGATTTGTATTCATGTCTTCCCAAAAGATTCACCTTTTTATAGGAAATTTTTCACTAAATGCTAATTAAACATAATATAAGTTATAAAAATTTTGAGTGTTAAATCATAATTAAGAAAACTTTTGAGTTGCATTAATTAAAAAAGAGGGTTTCAAATGAATGTGGTTTGAAGAAGTTAAAAAAGGAGGTTTCAAATGCATGAGATTCAAGAAAAAATCATAGCATTATAAGTATGTATGATATAAATAAAAATTTGATTGTAAATGTGTTTTAATTAAATAATCCTATGACCAATATATATGTGCTTAACTCAATGATTGGAGTAGAAATTAAAACTATTTATTAAGAGTCGTTTTCAATAGAATATGTCATTTGTAGTATATATATTTTTTTGTAGAAACACCATCTTATCCAACTTCAGTAGCCGATTGATGTCTGTTCAAAAAAAAGTAGCCAATTGTTGCGTTACAACGTTATTGTATGTTTTGTTGTTTCTCTAATCTATGATATAAATGTACATTGGTAAATGTTTCATTTAGAAAATCTTGAAAATTCTATATATTCAAATATGATGTATTTGTATTGATCTATACTTTCCTTATGGTATTTGAACCTATGTAATTAATACAAATGAATTATAATATTCTCTTACATGGTATTAGAACATTCTTCACACCGATTCTAAAGACATTACAATGCAATGAACTCTTTAGAGTTTAACTGACTGCCACATCATCTATCTATTTTTCATACAATATTACCATTTTTTTTCATACAATGCATTGAACTATAAAGTTCAATGGGAAATATTTAAATGAATAAATCATTTATTAGAAAACATTCATTTTCCCATTGAATAGTTTAATGATCATTAAACATCATATCCATTAAACGCCAACATGTATAGTTTAATCCATTGAATGCTAATTATGCTTGCCATTTCATTCAATTCTCCTACTAAACATGCAATATGGAAGCTCTAAGCCTTCATTGCCAACCCTCTTTTTCTCCCATTCTCTTATCTTGTCGACCAAGGCAAGACTCTCAACCTTTTTCTTTTTCTCTAAGTTGACTACCTATTGTGTCGAGTTCTCTTCTCCAAGTTACCTTCCTCCCCATATTTTTTTCTTCTTTTTCCTTATCTACATGTCTTTCTTTTTCCTTCCTTCTAAAAAACTAAGACTACCAATCTCTAAGAGAACAAGTTTCACCCTATAGTGACAATTTCAAAGATAAAAAATCTTATACTAATCACCTTAGAGATTGAGAGAAGTTAATGTAGTTCATGGTCTGACTGTTTAAGATCCATTTTCGTGCTTGTAAAGTAATAGTGCACATCATCCCTCCAAATCAACCACCACATTTGTTACCAACACTACCTACTACCATCGCCATTGTTGCTACTCAAGAGCAATGGTCTCGTCTTGATGCGGTCGTATAGTGGTGGATCTATGATACTATATCTACCGAGTTGCTTCATAAAAGTTTCTCTATCGATTCCACAACAAAAGTCGCTTGGGAACACCTTCAAATATTTTCCAGGATAAGAAAAACTCATGTACTGTATATCTTGAGCATGCATTCTCAAATGCACACCTTGATAACTTCTTGAGTGTGTTTGCTTATTGCCAAGTACTGAAGACTTTGGTTGATCACTTATCCACCGTAGGTGTTTTCGTGTAAGAACCATGGTTCTAAAAGGCACATCATGACATGCCATGGAGTAAGGCATGGTTATGTAGTCTTGAAAACCTGCACGACGGTGATTTTAGGCGTGACACATGCCAATGTAAGTAAAGTCATGTGTTAGAAGTGTCAAACCCGAACAAATAATATAATTTCTTTAGTTGTACTAAAGGATAACGCATGGAAGCATGGTTGAATCCTCAGAGACACGACCTAAAAGTCAATGCCTCTTTGCATAAGGCTCATACTAGTAAAAAAAAGAAGTGGGATATTGGTTTAAAACTAAAAATAAAATTGCAGTGAATCAATGTGCATAAACATAACTTAAGAAAATTCAATAACAAAAGATATTTTAGTTCTGTTGCGACTCTTCTAATTATGTAATTAATCCATATATGGTTATGTAACAAACATGTTATCTGAGTTGGTACTGAAAATTATTATCAAACTCTAAATAGAAACATAAGTTAAAAACGAAACCTATTGATTATTCGTATAAAAAGTTGAATTCATTGTAGAATTGAAAACCAGGGATTTTAGCTGGAGATGACAAAAAAACAAACCAAAACAATAAATAAGAAAAACTAAATAGTAAATCTAAATAAACGAAATTGACCGGTTGAATGTAAATCTAAATACACGAAATTGACCGGTTGAATCATGTTCTCCAGATCTGCATAAATTGTCGGAAAACGTAAACAAATGGTTGTCATCAATTTTTTTTATAAATTACATAGACTTCAACGTGAAGAATATTTTTTTTTCAAATAACATAGACTTCAACTTGAAGAATGTGATTTTCTCTATCAATATTAACTTTTAAATATTGTAATTTAAGCAAAATTTAGTCTTGATGATCATGAGAATTATACTCTAAAAAAACATCCTGCAAGAATGCTTGAAGAACTCGCCATCTAAAAACATTCTTTATGTCAGAAACAAGAACATTAATGCAAGAATAAAAATCAATGAAGTTTAAAGATGGTGATGAAGACAATGGAAGCTTGTGATATGGGGCTATTTATGGTGGTGATGAAAATGGTGGCGGTAATGTATTCGTATAACATAGTGGCGACCTTCATTTATTACAAACTTAGTGACGGCACAATTTGTCACAATATAGTGACCATTACACTTTAGTAACTATTTAGTATGTTGGTCACTAAATCATTTTAGTACGCTTCTACTCTTTAGTAGATAAGAAGGAAGGGGAGTGTTTGTAGTGGATAAGGTGGTGTAGACTGTTTTAGGCTTTTAGCACTATTAAAATGGTTTTCCCACTTATTCTTTATAATGGAAAACAAAAAGATGCACTTGTGCGTCGACATAGAGTATTAAGTAGGAATATATCATATTTATTCAATTTATAAACGTGGAGACTCGAATATATTAAAAAAAAATAGATAACTTAAAATAATTGAAGTGAAATGAGCACAAACACACGTATCCTCATTCCCCTCCTGTGTATTATACGATAGTGTCAAAGATCGCCAGCAAACAGTCCATAATGTTAAGCTTGTTCACATCGGTATTCCGACCTTCAAACCAATTTTATATAGTTTTTATAATTAGAAACAATTCCACGTTCACAATTTTTTTTTTAAAAGAAATGCGCGTTTTTAATTGCATTTTTTTTTCTGTACTTAAGTAGGAAAGAAACTCTCTGAATTCCCACCATTGAATCAAATGAGAATTCAAATTTCATCCTGGCTTTTGTTGGTATGCTTTTGCTCAAGCTTTTTTGGGTTGCATCCAATACTGGTTTCAGGACGATGTCTTGATAACCAGAAAGTTTTGCTTTTGGCTTTGAAAAATGAAGTCCAATTTGACTCTTCACTCTCAACGAAGCTCGTCGGGTGGAACCAAAGTGTTGACTGCTGCGATTGGGGTGGTGTGGCATGTGACAAAACCGGCCATGTCATCGGACTTGATCTTAGTAACGAAAGCATATCGGGTGGGTTTAATGGCTCCTCAAGTGTTTTTAGTCTTGGATTTCTCAAATCCTTCAACTTGGCGTATAACAGCTTCAATTCTGCTCAGCTGCCATTGGGATTTGGAAAGCTTACTCAGGTGAGCTATCTGAATTTATCAAACGCATATTTCGAAGGTCAGATTCCTGGAGATTTTTCATCAATGAAGAGGTTGGTTACCCTTGATCTGTCTTCAAGTCCTTATTACACTCTCGTTCTCGAAAACCCAGATCTCAAAATGCTCATTCAGAACCTTAAGGAAGTAAGAGAGCTCCATCTTGACAATATGAAAATCAGTACCCATGGGTATCATTGGTCAGGGGTCATATCTTCTTCCC